TAATATTTAATACAATAATTGAGTTTGCTAACCGTTTTATTTGTTTAAGCAAATAGAAAAAAAGAAAACAATTTGTTTTATTTAAGCATTTAACTACGCATCTCCATTTTTGTAAATTTAATAAGCGTTATTAACTATTCATCTAAAATTCAACATCAGAAGTGTTTTGTTATTATTCAATATGATTGTCTCCTTTCACAATCAATTTAAAGTAGTAAGTATACAAAATTAAGTTAAAGGCATTAGTATCTATATACATTTTTATATTGAATTGTTTAATAAATCATCAAGACTATTATTATATAATTCGTTCCCATTTTATAATTTATTTGAATGTTAAGAATGTAAAATATTGAAAACAACTCGTTGATCCGACGCCAAAGCGAATACAATAACGGTCATCTGACTCCACAATATTGCCAAGTTCTAAATAATAAGAGGCCCACGACGTCAACGGGTCTTGCGGACGTAAAGGGTTACATCCTGTTTTCAGACTAAATTCATATAATTTGGTCGTTTAAACTATTTTTTTTGTAACGAATATCAATTAACAATTTTATTTTTATCGAGTTTACTAAAACGTTTGTGTTTGGATGGTAGATACTTCTTATTATAATTTACGCACGAAAAATTATTTCAATTTTTTATTATTTTAAATTTAAATTATGACTTGTTTCAAACAATATATTATTATGTGTGGTGCTGTCTAACGCCTATGATATTAATACCTCTTAATTCTTATAACACTGTTGTATAATATTTTAGAACTATATATAGATGTATAATTTGATTTCACGCGATTTTTATCAAACGTTGTATTATATAATATTCATTTGAATTAATAATAATTACCCTGCAGGTACCGTAATTGCATGTAATATTCTATGGTAAAGTTAGTGTTTAATGTCAAGAATAATATTATATGCGTTATCCGGCGTTGAACCTTTGATAAACTTAATTATTATAAGAACTGCAGGACCGTTTCATGTAATTCAATCCGCCCACGACCAAGCATCAGTCCCTGCAGCAGAGCCTTTACTGGACTTAATCCGGACTCGATAATTACACCACGATTGTCGGCTACGATATAATGGTAGAATTAGTGAACGCGATACCAGTTATACTTATATATATATATATATATATGTGTGTGTGTGTTTGTATAGAATCTATGTGGATATTATGCGAAGCGAAAACAGCCGTCTCTTGTACACAAAGCACGCAATGGCAGATTATTCTCTTATATTATAGATGATACCTACCTACTCAGTAGCACACATTGTCCATGTTATAGTGTATAATGTATATTATTATGTGTGTATCTTGCGATATGCACAGAATCCTATAAGTTTGTGCCGCTCTAGTGAGTATATACCTACATACCGCGATGGCGCTATATATACGTATAATGTGGTACTCGGTATATATTTTAATTTATAGCATAATATATGTAGTAGGTTGTCAAGTGTTATTCCCGCGGCTTACACGTATATTATTTACCTACTCTATTTCCCGTTTTCTTGTGCCGCTATACCTCTTGATTGAATCGTATAGTTTTACTGACACTGATTACTATATGACGAGCACTCGAGAGGATGAAAACTTTGCTAATTCACTAGACGTGGCCATAAATGAGTTAGCGGCCGGTATGGCTGATTTCAGTGGAATAAGACTTAAGAGCTCGTGATATATGCATACTAAAAAGGTCGGCGGCTATATTCGTTGAATAATATACCATGTATTTATAATATTTGTTATTATATATAATATGTACATATAAGCGAAGTAGCTTCCGGTATAGCGCGCAGAATAATACAATTATTAATTATCAAGTTGGTATATATCTACCTAGTTGTACGCKCATCGTACGCTCCGCTCTTCGGTTATAATATAATTTAATATTGATAATAAACCTTTCATGAACGTGTGGTAAATATGACGTAAAATGACGTCCACCTGCTGTGGCGATTCTCAGAAAAAAAACTAACTATAGTAACCTATGTAATATTATAGTGCAATAAATAAGGCATTAACACGCAATCCCTAAAAATTTTCGGGATCGTTATGTAGTTTTTAACAATATTTACGTTATATTCATACATGATACATACGTACACAAATCTAAAAATTTCGAATAATGTATAATATATCTATATATGTTGTATATACGGATCCACACGTGATTTTAAATCCCAAAAATAAAATACTTTAAATATCTACGTCTTTTATGTGCAGAATATAGAATATAGGTATGGATTAGGTATATCAATTTAAACAATGCTAAATTCATGTGATTTTTCTTTTTAATCGTAAACGTCATATTATTCCCATGTCTACAAGCCTTGGACGTATCAATTTTAAATATTAAAAAACTCGTTACAGCCTGTCTCTAGCAGTATTGTTTCAAACATTTATTTATGCTACAAATAATTAACCAAGTCGGCGTACCTACTTAAGCAGTGCCGTCCGCATGGCTTTTATTTATTTATTTTTAAAGGGGACGATAACAAAAATCAATAGCTTGTTTTGTGCAAATCAGTAGATAGACGTTCCGATCATCCACATGATAGAACAATGATTAGGGTTTTCTAGTTTTTTCTATTATCATTTTGGAGGGGTGTTTAAAAGTTTTATGCTCAAATCGATTTGCGAATTTATCATGTGGGCACTTATATAAAACTGGATAATAATTTATTCCTTCAAGTATGGACAAAAAATAAAAAATAGCATTATTGTAATTATATTGGTACGTACAGCTTTTACGAAATTGATTTTGGTTATTTATTGTGCGTCTAATTTAATAATTATAATTTTTTCACTGAAGGGCTAAAATTTTTATCTAGTTGAGTATCATAAAAAAATGATTTTTAATTAATATTTTTTTGGTTAAATAATTGATACAAAACAATATTTTTAACTATGAATTTGTAGCTTTTTTAACTATATCACCACGATCGTTCGATAATSTAATAGGTATGTCCTGTTATGTGTCATGATTTCTTATTTGAAACTATGCTTTTATTATTAGAACCTGCAGGTTTAGATAAATGCAAATGGAAAATACAGCTTATGTGGTGAATAAGGTGGGAATTTCCTTCAGGTGCGTCACACCATTATACAGTTGAGTGCTTACTCCAGCTATCGAAAAAAAAACTGAGCAGATGTCAGAATAATATATGATTATGATTCTAAATATTTCGAATAGTACTTTATATTAACGTTGACCAGCGTTTGTTTTAAAGTGTTAAAAATAATTTGATGGCTTTAAATTAACTTTTGAAACCAAACTTGAAATAGAGTTCCAGCGATTGTCAGTTCAATTTTAAAATTTATCGTACCAATAAGTTATAACATTCCGAACATTTTATGTTGGTCCATTTGTAATACTATAAATCATTTTTGCCTGAATTAATAACAGGAATAATACTGTTAAATTATGCATAAAAATAAACATTGTCAATCAATTTTGTACAGTAATCATAATATAATCATAACTTATTGTTATTCTATAATATAGTCAACATTCATGGAAGACATAATATCAGTACCTATACCTATATCGTATTTCAACTATAACAATATTAATTAAAACATTAATTGTTTCTAAATATAATTTAGCTCTATACCACTCCAAAATATGTCGAGCATTTTCATTCGCCAAATCACAATTTCGCACCCATAGTTTTAATCACGTATTTTAATTAACTAGATTTACACGAAACATTACCTATAACCTCCAAATTCTACAAAATTATTTAAACTAGATCAATGGCCTGCAACATAATAATATATTGTTTAACACGTGTTAACCTTTGAAGCTTTCAATATTTCCAGTGAATGATTTTAATTTAAAATGATAATCAATTTCTGAMTTCGTACACTATGAATATTGCGAAATATTATGTTATACCTAATTTATAAAAGTCTACCTTTATAGCTATTAGGTACCATATGTAATATATCTTTGATAAATATGCTCGAATTTGAATGTTTCAGTCTTATTTTAAGATATTATATCACTAAACATATATTTTTTTAATATGTCGTACATTAATTTGCCTATTATATCATGAAGTCTGACGTTGAACATATACATATTCAGCATATGTTGACTTTTGTGTTAGTACTGCGCGTTATTAGTTTACGCCAAATTAATTTTGATAACATACTGCTGCAAGACATAGACATATTATGTTTACATACAATTCAGGGGTCTCCAAACAATGACTCGCAAACAAGTTTTCACCAAAGGAAAGTAAACAATCTAACACTTAACAGTAGGTATTATATGTATCTAATATCACTAATATCCGAAATTATTATTAAGCGCACATGTCAACTAAATAACCTGCAGTATGATAATATTATATAACGAATTATATTTAAATGAATTACAAGAACTATATTTTTTTTTCAAATTTCTACAAAATTAAAGATTGTATGTATATAATATATTACTATGTACTTTTGATCACTTAATTTTTTTCTTATATTTTACGACGCGTTCCTTTGAAAACCTTTGTAACTAACTTATAGTATTTATTGTGAACAAACCAGTTCCAAATATAGATTATGAAGTCTATGGTAAAGGTGCCTACTACCTATACTAGAGTATCCGAATTTCATTGGTCAAAACATCCGGATATTTGTTTTATTTATAAATACTTTATTTATTTACGCCGATTAGAGATCATTAATTCTCGAATATCAAATAGTAGATGATCTTGAAATATTATATCATAGGCATGTGCATTGTACATTGTATTTTAAAATGCAATTCATATATCGTTGATTTATACTCGCAAAGACCTATTTCAAAAAAGCTAACCCAACAAATTCGTATACTATTATGATTATATAGGTCACGTACATTCGCACATCCTTTACTTATGTCACAATATAGGCATAATGCTTTTTTGTTTTTTAAATAACGGTTTCTTATATTATCCTATTCAAATAATGAGGAATAAAACGGTTGGCTGCAGATGAAAGACACTTACCTCCGACGCCGGCGTTCGTGATGGTCACCCAAAAGTCGATGGTCTTCTCGGGGCCCAACTCCTCGTAGTCCCACTTCTTCTTGACCCGGACGGCGCCGTTCGGCTCGACGGTCACCCATGGGTTCTCGTCCCGGATCTTGAACGTCTCCTTCTCGGTCTCCTTTTCCAGCGGGAACACGCTCCGGCCCTCCTGTTCGCCGTCGGTCTCGGTGAACTCGATCCGCTTGGTGGGCCGCACGGCCCGCGTCACCCGGCGCTTGTACACCCGGTGGTCGGCCGCGTCGTCGTACGCGCCAAAGTCCTGCATGAGCACGTCGTCGTCGAGCACGACAAAGTTGTACTGGATCCAGACGGTGGCCGGCCGGTCGGCGACGCGGGACGGCTCGCGCAGGTCGTGCGCGTCCACGGTCAGCTGACACTCGAAGTACTCGCGGGACCGGAGCACGTCGTCGGACACGAGCAGCTCGCCGGTCTGCGGTACGACGACGACGGCGGAGCTAGGCGCGGACAGCCGGTAAGCGACGTGGTCGCCGTCAGCGTCAGTGGCCGACACGCGGCCCACGGCCGAGTACCGGCCGGGGCCCGCCGTCCCGTTGTCCAGGCCGAGCGCGAACCCGTCCACGTTGATCTTGTACAGGGCCTGTCCGAACACGGGGCTGTTGTCGTTCTCGTCCAGCACGTCCACGTGCACGGTGGCGTACGCCTTGTCGATGCCGCTGCCGTCGGCCGCCTGCACGATCAGGTCGTACGACGGGCGCTGTTCCCTGTCCAACGGCCGCTTGGTGACCAGGTGCACGCCCCGGTAGTACGACTTGTTCGTGATGTTGCCGGCGATGATGTTCTCGGCCGTCTTGAGCGCGAACGCCCCGTCGTCGTTGCCGTCCACGATCGCGTACCGTATGGGCAGCCCGGCCACGCCTTCGCCGAACGCGTGCAGCACCGGCACGCCGCGGACCCTCGTCCCCGGCGGCTTGTTCTCCGACACCTTGCCGTCCGGGTAGGCAGCGTCGCCGGCGAACCGCAGCATCTCGCGCTTCTCCAACACGAACAGCTGCATGTTGTGCGTGAACGTGGCGTTCGGCGACTCCTCCAGCACGACCAGGTTGACGGGCCGCTTGACCAGCAGCCCCAGGTCGGTGGTGGTCATCAGCAGTCCGTCCTTGAGCACGGCGAAGAACTGCGAGAATCCGGTCTCGAGCAGCCGGAAGTACGCRTACTTGTTGTCGCTGGTGAACTGTTTGATGCCGTATCCCGGGTACACGTCGCTGGGCAGTATCGCTATGTTGTGGTGCATGTGCGGCGACAGCGTTGCACCGCCGTCGCTGCAACCGGCCGCGGGCGCGCGGCACACGGCCACCAGGGCCACCGCGGCCACGGCGGCCGTCAGCAGCGCCGACGTCCTCATCGCGGGTCCGGTCTCCGACCCCCGCGAGTCCGTCTGTCGTCTGCTGTGGGCGATGGTCACTTCCTCCGTTTCTCCTCTTCTTCCGCTCGTAACAATGTACAAAGACGAACTCGTCGTCAGTGGGCCACACCTAGTGGACGCTTCTACTCTGAAATACAAAAATCCACACGTTAAATCGTCGTATCATTTTATACAGTTTCGTAATAGAGTTTCAATGTTGGTTTTGGGAAATTTTATTAGGTCCTGCATAGTCTTTATCACCTTGCAGTGGTGCACTTACTGAGGTGAATTTAACTCAAATTTTACTCTACGAAAGCGCYGCGAGTAACCGATTTTATGAATTTTATTATTTAGGCAAAGATTCCGCAAAAGTATATAATCCGTTGATGAACCGTTACTTTTTATTTGATTGTATTAGCTTATTAATCACATAATATTACGTAACATCAAATAAATGTATAACTTGCAGCCGTAAAATGGGTTAATTAAATAAATGGGTAACAGTCTTCGGACCTTGTCGTCTCAGACAGCGGTTTAAACACAATTGTACGATCAAAATTATATATTTTGGTACACAGACGGGCTTCATCAACATAATATTATCATCGTGATATTTATGTGACACGCGGAGACACAATATTTTTGATGATATATATAGGTAGATACTATATGTGATGTATTAATGTATTATGCGACACCGCGTCAAGTTTAAGGTTAATCCACCGTTCTTTCGTTTTCCGTTTTACTTTCTCTTGAATTTTT